ATGTCCAATTTGAGATATGATCTGAGCTATAGTTTACTACCACAGTTTATTTTAATTTGATGTCGATAAATTGGACAATAGTTTCAATGTTATTTAAATGTTATAAATTAATTCAATATAATACAATATCACATAATCAAATCTAAAGCATAGTCAAATTTCCGATAGCTTTAAGGAAATCCATAGGGTTGCTGTAGTTGTCGTAATCATCTACAATTCTTTGAAGTTGTCGATCATAACGGATCCATTTGGGTGCACGTGGCTCAGGTAGTTCCCGCCCGTCTCTTTTGGTTTTCTTCACGTCTGTAAGGGGTTGTTCTGCTTTAAGGCAATCAAGGAACTTCCAAATTGTGGGCTTCGAGCAGGACAGCATTGAATGGAATCCGTGATGCCAACCTTCTGCGATGTTGGATGAGCGAGGACTCCTCATCTGTGCAGCTTCGTCGGTTGATCTCCACCAGAAGCCTTCCTGATCAGTTGTCTGTCCACGGTACGGATGTGGGCTCTGCAACCCTTTCGGAAATCCGAACATTTCCAGTAGGAGGTGTCGTCTCTTCGCTTGTCGAAGACGTATCTGAAGCCATTTAGGACAGGTTTCTCCGAGCCTTGTTTGCGTCCAGGGATAAACTGAAGATTGGTTGCCATTGTGGATTGCTATAAGTGATCTCCATACTGCTGTCCTATATGTACGGGAGCAGGACTATTGAGCGGTGGACTGTTGAGCGTAGGACTGTAGGTCGGTGAAGGTCGGAAGTAGGACTGTAGAGCGGTGTCAAATCGCCAGGGTAGGACTCTAGAGCGGCCGCCCTTATAGATCTCACAACATGAGGACTTTAGAGCGGCACGATCCTAAAATGAGGACTGTAGAGCGGTGGACTGTTGAGCGGTGGACTGTAGGCCGGTGAAGGTCGGAAGTAGGACTGCAGAGCGGCCCTCCCTTATAGATCCCATAACATGAGGACTCTATAGCGGTTGAAAATTTGAAGATTGAACACTCAACGAAGCTAAGTTATACATTGTAACTCGTGATTGATTATGGTCATGACATTCTAGGATGAAAGGAAATCCATAGGATTGCTGTAGTTGTCGTAATCATCTACAATTCTTTGAAGTTGTCGATCATAACGGATCCATTTGGGTGCACGTGGCTCAGGTAGTTCCCGCCCGTCTCTTTTGGTTTTCTTCACGTCTGTAAGGGGTTGTTCTGCTTTAAGGCAATCAAGGAACTTCCAAATTGTGGGCTTCGAGCAGGACAGCATTGAATGGAATCCGTGATGCCAACCTTCTGCGATGTTGGATGAGCGAGGACTCCTCATCTGTGCAGCTTCGTCGGTTGATCTCCACCAGAAGCCTTCCTGATCAGTTGTCTGTCCACGGTACGGATGTGGGCTCTGCAACCCTTTCGGAAATCCGAACATTTCCAGTAGGAGGTGTCGTCTCTTCGCTTGTCGAAGACGTATCTGAAGCCATTTAGGACAGGTTTCTCCGAGCCTTGTTTGCGTCCAGGGATAAACTGAAGATTGGTTGCCATTGTGGATTGCTATAAGTGATCTCCATACTGCTGTCCTATATGTACGGGAGCAGGACTATTGAGCGGTGGACTGTTGAGCGTAGGACTGTAGGTCGGTGAAGGTCGGAAGTAGGACTGTAGAGCGGTGTCAAATCGCCAGGGTAGGACTCTAGAGCGGCCGCCCTTATAGATCTCACAACATGAGGACTTTAGAGCGGCACGATCCTAAAATGAGGACTGTAGAGCGGTGGACTGTTGAGCGGTGGACTGTAGGCCGGTGAAGGTCGGAAGTAGGACTGCAGAGCGGCCCTCCCTTATAGATCCCATAACATGAGGACTCTATAGCGGTTGAAAATTTGAAGATTGAACACTCAACGAAGCTAAGTTATACATTGTAACTCGTGATTGATTATGGTCATGACATTCTAGGATGATAACTTTATTTAAGAAAACTGGATACTCCGTGATATTTATACCATACCTTCGAAATCCTAACAAGATATCGCACTGCGATGGGATCTGAATCAGTCCCGTCACCAGATTAATGAACATTAGATATCCTTAGTAGGCGCTAAAGCGTCACGCGATGCGATCCTCATTCCTAAATGATCTGCACGAACTTGATCGGTACTCTGCTTAGCGTCAGCGAAATCACATTGATACGAACAGTTCACTAAAATACCGAAGACACGTTTTACATTTTTGAGTAGCAGAAGAATTTATTTCAATCATTTGGAAGACGTTGAGACCGACCAATAATCTTAAATTAAGTTACACTATAATATTAGTAATGAAATATTTATAATAAGTAAATGAAAATGTTCATTGACTCCATGACTCTCCATGACCCTTAGTAGGCGCATCATATAATAAGTAAATGAAAATGTTCATTAACTCCATGACTCTTCAATAAAGTTATCATCCTAGAATGTCATGATCATATTCATTCACGAGTTACAATGTATAACTTAGCTTCGTTGAGTGTTCAATCTTCAAATTTTCAACCGCTATAGAGTCCTCATGTTATAGGAGGGTACCGCTCTAGAGTCCTCGTGTTATGGGATCTATAAGGGAGGGCCGCTCTGCAGTCCTACTTCCGACCTTCACCGGCCTACAGTCCACCGCTCAACAGTCCACCGCTCTACAGTCCTTATTTTAGGATCGTGCCGCTCTAAAGTCCTCATGTTGTGAGATCTATAAGGGCGGCCGCTCTAGAGTCCTACCCTGGCGATTGACACCGCTCTACAGTCCTACTTCCGACCTTCACCGACCTACAGTCCTACGCTCAACAGTCCACCGCTCAATAGTCCTACAGCCTTATGTACTCATGTCCTGTGATGTGATCGACAGCTTGTTAGGGTACGGCTAGCACGATCCTGTTCTCAATCACGTATCGATGATCAGATCTTAAGGGATCACATCAGCTTTAGAAGGTCACGAGATTACCCGTGAGCTTGTGAAATACGAATGTGAACCGAAATTACAATATGATCCGAAATTCGGACAGATGTCGCCAAAAACGACTCCTGTCCGACAGCGACATCTGTCCGAAATCCCTAATTCAGCTTTCGGACAGATGTCGCTGTCGGACAGATGTCGCCCAATCATCTGTATGGTGTTTACTGTTTTTACTGCACTCTCTGTTCTAGAACAGATAAGACAATTTGAAGGAAGCTTAAATCGTCATAGAAACACTATATATCAATTAATTAAGCTTCCTGGACTAGTGAAGGTAAGCGGACACTTCTTAACTTGCACTAGTATGACAGGGTTAGGGGATTAGGTTAAGATCACGGGTACGGTTGCGGTTAATACTAAGTTAGGTAAGCGGGAAGGATAAAGGATTCGGTCCGTTAGGAATTTGGTCCGCCAACCTGAAAATCAGTGAGCAGTATAATTTATATACCAGTTATTTATATACTTAAATGATATCCATTTGAATACCCATAACGATCAGTAAACAAAGCTATAAAATATTATTCAACAAATCTTAACAAGTCATTTATCCTCTGCTATTAAGATAATGTCTTATCGGAAACAAAAGAAACCAACTTTTTCGACTATCTGAATGCTTTTAAAAACTAACGACGTTTGAATGCTATGAATGGCTCTTTTTATGATAGACTTTGATAATATTCTTTAACAAAATTGCCGCAAAATCATTATATTTCGACTTAACGACTAATGATTGCACAGCTGCAACAAAAAGCAAATCAATGAAAATACAGCAGCTAACGACAAATAATATTACTTTAGCTGGCTTAATTCTCTAACTAAACTATCATCTTAACATAATCCGACTAAAACTTACCGATAAAATACTGTCATAATTTAACTTTATTTTACACCATTCATACTGTAAAACTATATAAGTTTACGCCATCTTGATAGAAGAATAATCTAAGAAGCTTTGTTTGAAGACTGAGCACTGCATTCATCAACAAATCAGAGATAACATACATGTATTCTGCATTATCTAACAAATAAATTAGCTATGAAAGCCAAAAAAGCAAAAAGGTAGCAAAGTAAAGTCGTATCTTCTTGGATGGACTCCTCTGTCATGTCTGTCTAGGTCACTTGGTGGCGAAAAAATGTGGCGAATTCTGCAAGAAAAGGGGGACACTTCAGAAGTGTATTCCTCAAAAATTCCTGATATACGATAAACCATACATAGCCCTTTTATTTTATATGTGAACTGCCCTACTTCCGCCAAAATGGTCACGTTTTAATATGGTTAGGCTCGTATTGAGAAAATCTATGCATGACAGGCATGTACCAGTCAGTGGTAGACGTTGGGGTATGGCACTGAGTCGGCCCCCATCAGCAGAATTTAAACGGGCTGTTCTCGTATCAAGGGAGTGAAGGGACGTGAGAAGGTATGCAAGGGGATTGGTACCTAAGCCGATCAGGTGTTAACTTTGATACCTAGATCTTAGGTATAAACATTGGAAGATTGAATATAAAACAAAAGTACCGCATTCTATCAACATGCCGACCTACTCCAAATTTCTCTGTTGGTTCTTAGTTGTGCATAATCTGTGTTAATTGGTTCTTAAATGTCAGAGCTACTCATGTTAATTACTTGATGACGTACAATGACGTACTTAATGCTCAGATCACTTCATGACCTAAGGTTAGCCAGCCGTACCAGGCACTAGAGTTTTACAATATGTCAAGTTATTTACAGCTTAGGATCACTAATTCTCAGTGGTTTAACCGCACTGGACTGGTTTGCTGATTGTTGACACCAGTTCTAATACAAAAGTATAAACAAGCATTTGAGCTCCCCATACGGCATGCTTGTAACAGTCAATAGAAGAGGGAATATGGGCCATGAACATATTGGTGTCAAGCCTTGTTGGAAATTTAGATGGGCAGCTTACCCAGAGTATATAACAATAGCCAGATTAACACAAGACATCAATTACGATTACAATCTCAATAACAGTGTTAACTTTCAATTGCAACTGAAACATATTCAATCATTATCATGGAATCTTTCAACTACCCTACTTACCAAGATTTCACCTCCGTGAACGACCTACCAGAACCGGTTCCAGTGAGCTCTTTCTACCTATCCTGGTCCATCCCTATATCCTTCATTTTCACTTTCCCTGAGCAGGAACTACCTTCAAGTTGCCAGAATATCACCAACTGCGCCCCAAGTATTTTCACTGTTCCAGTAGTGGAGACATTCACTGGATCTGAGACTTCCTCTTCGGAAGTTCCAGCTCTGACACAACTCCCAGCGAACCCTGATGTGGATATGCCTATCCTTCCCCCTCTCCAGAGCTCATACAGATCTCCCTGTCCTTCTCCGAGTACTTTACCTGCTAGCTCCCCGTCTTCAACAAACCTGTCCGACCAGGCAATCACTGCACAGTCCCTGTACGATGAACAGCAGTTCGACGAGCTTAAGTCTTACCTCTCCGTCACCTACTTCCCTTCCTCAGATCACCCTCATCTCCAGAAACTCTTCTACAATTGTCTTTACGAGCTCTACAAGATATCTTCCTGCAAACGACACCTGATGCCCACTCAGAAGTATCGATTGAGGAAGTCGAACCCTCTTCCATCAACCATCTCATCAGTGAAGTTCCAGAGCAACAACCACTTTGACGACAACGCAAGGTCCCTTCTACTAGCTGTCTTCAAAAGAGAGAGAACCCCTTCCCAGGAGACTATCAGCATGCTGAGAGAGAATACTGGACTAACTGAGAAGCAGATCAGAAACTTCTTTAAGAACAAGAGAAGCAGAGCGTGAATTGTTAGTTTGATAATTGTATGTGTGAATTTTAAATAAGTAAATGTTTTAATCCTAAAGACTAGCTTAACTTTACCAACTTCACGCAAACATGAGCATTCTTTCAACATACACAATAATAATGACCATGATCATTATAAAATCTCCTGAAGTCCTGAGTAACTGCAAGTGCCATATGTTTTATGGGCGGCCTATACTGATTTGAACAAAGGTTGAACACCGGTATAGTCTGCACTACATGATATAGAGTTTGATAAACGCTGGAGATAATCACTTAACGATTTAATTGGTCAATTAAGTGTGCATGAACAGATGTGTATACTGGGTTTTACAGTCTAGTAGTCTTACTCTTAACAATAAAGTAGAGTCCTTTAGGACGGTCTATCTTACCAAACGTTATGGTAAAACAACAAACCAATCAAATATTGTTCATGAATAGATGAATGAGCTTGTTTTTAGGAGATGATTTAAAATTTTAACTGATACAGCGACCACAGAACGGCTTTAAAGAGATAAACAGAAACAATTTCTTTGTAGAATAGTAAAATTGAAATCGGTGATAATTGTTGTATTGTGCGGTTTTGTTAAATTGCAAACAGGAAAATTCGAAATTCTTGGCAAGTTGATAATATCAAATCCAATTATTGGCCGGCTTGTTTTCAGGAGATTATTTAAAATTAGCTCTTGGACTGATACAGCGACGAATTGAAACCATTGGCAGCAAACAGGAAATTCGAAATTCTTGGCAAGCTATAATTGCGTTGATAATATCAAATCCAATTATTGGCCCACTATCAAATTATTGGCCCTCTATCATAAAGTATTAGAGAATTGTTAAGTTAATTAGAATAGGTGATTACATAAAAAATGTTTATTACAAAAGATGATTATTACAATAGAAAATTTTAGAAATGATAATTAAATTAAGATATACACGTGCCTCGACATATCTTCACACGAATTAGAAGTTGCCATGTTGATGGTAACGTGTCACGTTGTAATGATATCAAAACTGCTTCAAATAAAAATACATTTTCGTATGTTCACTAGGAGAGAAATAAGATAGCCACATAGAAATCATTATAGCTAGACGGTACGTGACGCTGCAAACCACATTCTCATTTATTTGTGCACTGAACAGGTTTTGTATTTTGGCAGAATTAGCTAATATACCACTTCCTTGTGCTAATTCAAATTTAAGTGTAATCGCTCTGACGACATATTAACAACAGTACGTGAGGTTTACTTATACCACCGCATCATTTCCTGATTTATTTAACGACATGATTACATAATTTATGTAATAATGCAGAATTTGGTGGTGCTTTCAGCAAGCTATTTTTGGGAATTTAAGCATGCAACCGAGGTGTGCAATCGCTAAAATATAGCGTTAAGAAATGTTAACTGCACTGTGCCTGTGCTGCCCACGTCTTCAAGGCAATACTTTTAAAATTTTACAGAGTACAACAATAAATGAGGCACATCATCTTTTAAAGCAGTAATATGCAATCAGAGATTGATCTTTGCAATCTGTGCAGGTATCCTGCAGGCTAATAAACGGACTAATATTTTTGTTGACAAGCTGTAGAGTGTAGAGTGCCAATTTGTCTTAACCACAATCATTAAACAAAATTATTATCCATAGAATTTGAAGAACATTCAGCTAAAATTTAAATAACTCGTGTCATAAACTAATTAGAGTATTAATTATAACTTATTAGTATTACAACACAACAAATTTATAACATTTATTGATCATTACGTAATGGGATGGAAGGTGTACACAGTACACTGTACACATTCCACAACATGCAGCTCTATAATATAGTAATATGAAGGACTTCTTTTAATTCTAAATGAAAAGCTCGAATGCAATAAGTCATATATCTATGCTATAACATATAAGACTTAGATAATATCAAATCCAAGATAATGAATTCTCATGTATTTACCACGTTAATATAATGTGCCAAGTTTGTTAATCTAATAAACATGAATCAACCACACCAAAATTCAAATGAAATGATAAAATGGTCGCTTTCATGTGCATGTTCAAGTTAAAGTTGCAAATTTTCAAAATATACTAACGAACTTCTAAAAGTGCACTAATTCATGTAAAATATAAAAGTGAAAGTAAAAATGATAACCTGGCCGCATAAGTATAAGTACATTTTTCTTGCAGAGAAATTTGCATAATTAATCAAAATGTAAAATAAGCGTAATAATATCCAAACTAGTAAATTTCCATTTTAATTTATTACAGTAAACTTTTACAAAGTGATTCGAGGCACAATTTAAAAGCGACGACACAAAAATCCAACATATTTCTAATTTCACCTGAATTATATACCACGTGATCGATTATAAGAGACTAGTGCTGCCCTTATCTGCTTATTGCACTGATTACAGTAGACTCACCTTTGCTCGTGTAAGACCCGGCCGTCTGATGGAAAAGGACCGCAACCTACAGCCGCGGTGAACCTAAATACCATTTAGTTAAACTTGGGGCTCCACAGGAGCGTCCCAACTGCTCCTGAAACATGATCGAACCTGGTTAGCCCGGGTAAGCGGGTCAGTACTTTCTTGCATCATGCTCACTAACCTGGGTCTCTAACGTTCCACTAAAACATTGACACTCGACAGCCAGAAATGACAGGGATGTTTCCCTGTTGTTCTCACGATTATATTGAGGTATAATTATATAGGGGGTCAGTATTAAGCAAGGTTGTTAAATACGTCAAATTTTCGTGAAATAATACGACGTATTCGGTTCTAATAAAGAATACGTCGTAATACGCCGTAATACGGTAATTTCTATGGATTGTTAAATACGTCCACGAATACGCCATAATACGCCGTAATACGCTGATTTGTCAAAATTAAACATTACAGCTGCGCGCCACCCTCATCATTGATCATGCATTAAAGGAGTGCAGTTATACATGATAACTTAAATTTGTAATCAAATTTCATGGATAATCCGATAAGCGTAATACGTCAATTTTCGAGGATTAATACGTATTCGTATTCCAATACGTATTCCCTCCTAATACGTATTTAACAACCTTGGTATTAAGCTTCTGATGTCAAGGTAATTATATTGAGCAATGGATACATACAATAACAGAAAAACGTACTAGGGATTATGTTATAACATAATATGAGAGCCCCTTCAGAAGTACTTACCCAAGCGATTAGTAGAAAATGAATAGTTTACAGGAAAGAAGTCTTGAGTGGAGAAGGTCCCTCTGCAAGCACTGTTAGTCAATCCTATGACTCGGTCCTAGTCCTACCGTTTCACATCTTTATCGGTTTATCTATCTCCTAGGGGTCGTCCTGTCTTATAGCGTCCCAGGTTCCGTCAGCTATACGGCGCTGCGTAACGAAGAAGCGCCCAACAAAAAGTGATCAATTCTTTCCGCCCGTCTCGGCGGAATAAAATTGTCTTTTTTTTCGAATTTTCGTGGGAAGAGGCGAGATAACAACAGTTCCCTATTTCATCAGATTAACGGTTAACCCCGAGAACCAGTTCCGTGGATTACAGAATATACTAGAAGAGGAAGGTTCTGGAACCGTGAACACGCTCTGCTGAGTGCAGAAATACTGGCATCTAGATTCCGGAAGTTCTTACAATTCCTTTTATTAATGTCTACTAATTACTTAGTTGAGAACTGTATGAATATATATAATATTGGGGGTGAAGTAACAATGCAGATTGTAGACTATACGTTGCTTATTTCACCCTCAATAGTCAATATGCATGGCAGAGAGACAGTGTTTAGCAGGAGCCTTAGTGCTGCAACCATTCGAAAGACAATGAACATACCACTAACTAACCCAATCCCAGTATAATGAGTATAATCACACTGATTAGTTACTTCCGACCTTGCGAGTTGCGGTGCTTGATGATTAAGTCATCACGGTACGTGATCAGTAACAGAGATCCCAACAAAGCTCCAACAAAGCTCCAACAAAGGCTTGATCGTATGTTAATCACTAAGATCGCATGATCCTGCCCCCTCAATAAAGCAATAATAACCATTGTTTCTGAAAAATAAGCTTTAAAAATGTTATTTTGTGAGGTTTGGGGTTGTGAGGTTTGAACTTTTGAAGTTTTGTTTGAAGAGCACCTTTTATACCTTCCAATATCATTTCATATATACAACCTCCATTTGGAAACACTTTGGATCTTGAGCAATCTAAAATTGTAGCAAACCGGACCGCCGCCTTTTTCACTCCTGTAGATCTTATTGCACTGTTTCAATATCTCTAAAAAGATTTCAATTGGCCGTAAAATGTGACAACTTTATTCATGTACTTGTAATATAATCAACTATGCTGCTATGCAAAATACAACTCCTGTGAAATTAAATTAAATCCCGTTTCAGGACTCCTTATTGATCGATCAGAATTGCAAGATAACGGAATTGAAAAATGACCTATTTATATAATATGTTGGACAATTAATAATTCAGGTAAAACATGTCTATTATAGATCTTATTTTACTTTTATATTCTACTTTATACTTTTAGTATAGGTTTTGCTAAATTTTTTCATTCTAATTGTCGAATCCCGATCTATGAATACCGATGCTTGATTCATGTTTTTATGTGAAAACGTGATTCCAAACTGCAATGAAATTAAATTAAATTTCGTTTCAGGACTCCTCATTGATCGATCGGAATTGCAATTAGACAGAGAAATTGAAAAATGACATATTTATATGTATTGGGCTTTATTCTGGTAAGTGTCCATAAAACTTGAATATTCTTCTATTTATTTTAAAGCTATGTATACGTGTTCCGCTAAATTCTTTCATTCAAATTTCTGATTGTTTCTGAATTCAGCTATTTATTTCCATTAAAATCTGTATTCACTGAGTCTATTCAGAAACAATCAGAAATTTGAATGAAAGAACTATCAAATCATGAGACTGATCAATAACTTATAACACTATACACGAATCCACCAGATTCCGCTAAATTGTTTCATTCTACTA